CTATGGATTCACCAACTTTCCTGGCAAGAGGAAAACAAGATCAAACTTATGCTCGAAGTAGAATGAAACACGCAGACACACAACACACACACACACCACCACACACACACACACACACACACACACCACACACACAACACACACACCACACACACACACCACACACCACACACACACACACACACACACATATATATATATATAATATTTATATATAAATATATATATATATCTATATATATATATTATATGTGTGTGGTGTGTGTGTGTGGTGTGTTGTTGTGTGGTGTGTGTGTGTGTGTGTGTGTGCGTGTGCGTGTGCGTGTGCGTGTGCGTGTGCGTGTGCGTGTGCGTGTGTGTGTGTGTATTTCAGCTGTTGGCTATCTTCAGAACATGCTCATAAAAGGAAGCACCTTATTTAGATAACAAACATTATGCAGAACACCACTTAAAAACAGATTATCTCACGCATTTTCTCGGCCGCATTATATCGAGCAGTTCTCCTGGGAAGAAGCTGCATTATGAGACGGTGTCATATGGGGCACGCTTCAAAAGGCTACATTAGAAAGTCATGGTGTTCAGTGTAGGCTTCTGATATCCAATTTGAATTGCTTCCGCGATTTTTCATTCGGTAACATCTTTAGACACCTCCGTGATAGATATTTCAAGCGGACTTGTGTCGACGATTTTCGTATGTTGTGCTTTAGTGAAGTGGTCGCCGAATGACGTATTTTTGCCAGGGGGTTTTGCATAGTTGGCAGGTCATAAGGTGCACAATTTTTGTTGTTTTTTATTTTGGTATATAATTTAAGATCGAAATAAAGGGATTGAGGAAGGAAAAGGGCGAAGTAAAATGGTAAAAAGGAAAGAAAACTTAATTTTTTTAGGTACTCCAAACTCAAATCTAAGAGATCCCCCTCTCAGTACTGTCGAGAAAGTTGAAAGCCTCTAGTGGAGGACAGGAAAATTTTTAGATGCTCTTAGTAGGCAGTTCTCCTCAGTTTTTATAAGGAAACCATGTGTGATGTTCCTGAAAATAGGAAAAACCTGACCAAAGGCAGTCTGGTTGACTTCACGGCGGCCGAAAGTATGGTAGCGGGTAGCTAGAAGGAAATCGAGGTTGATAAGGTGACCGAACCTGACGAGGTATATGGTAGAATGTTGAAGTAATGCGCTAGTATTTAAGCTTATCCTCTTCTGTTAATATTTCACAAACCTTGCGTTTCTCAGAAGTACCCGAGGACTGGCGCAATGCCAAGGTAGTACCGACTGTTGAGAAGGGGACCGGAAAGTGTCTCCCGAGCTCCCATTTCATAGCTAATGACCCCATTGCCAAAACTACCCAAATGCATCACCACACACTTCTAAGTGAATGACATCTACCACAGAGAAGCCCAGTTCGTTTGTTTCTTTAAGTCGAGTTGAGTTTGGTTCATCTGATTAGGATCTTTAACAACCCTACCAATTTCACATCGTCAGCAACTTTAAGCACCTTGCTCTCTAATCCTATCTCAATATTATTCACAAAAAATAATGAAGATCAAAGGGGCCAACACCAATGCTGTAGAACCCCTACTCTGTTCTAGCTCCCAATGATAGTTTGTTCTTTTGAGCGATACTCTTTGCCTCCCGTCTAGGAGCCAAAAATGTCTCTCGCAATGTCATTCACCGCACTGGCCGTAACATTGCTACGGCACGCAAACCATTTTCTGTTCTTCTTAGACTAATTTCACCGGATGTTTTTCATTGAGCATTCCCTGGTTGTTAAAAGCAGCAAAAATGCAGGTCTTCATTTCCCCGACCTCCCAGCAATGAGGCTTGACGCTCACTGACACTTTCTTGGGCCCCGGCCTGGTTACTCTTGGGCGACATCGAATAACATGGGTGCTGTATTGAGTTTTATGTGTAAAGTTCCGCGCTTAATAGACAAGCACGTAAGACAGCTTTGCTCCAGCTCACTGCCAGGTGAGAAAACAATTATACAATTCCAGATCAGTTGTTTGTTTCTTCTCATTTTAAGTTACAGCTCAACGCATTGTACCTAATGGCCATCGATGTGCTCTGAGGACTCGCAGCGCACGACGACGTCATCTACGCGACTCGTGTGGGACGACAGGTACCTGGGGTTGGTTAACACGCACTCGTCATTCAGATATTGTTCTATAGTTCCGGCAGAATGCCAAAATGACTTGCTTTAAGATGGAAATAAATGGCTTCAAGATCATGGCCACAGTTCCCAACGCAGGATGCCGGTCACGTCCGGTCACGTGATACGGGCCAGTCGGCCCATGGCGTCCCGCGTTACGTGACCCGCCAAATTCGATTTGCAACCGATCTTGAATAGATTCCATCGAGGTCCTATTTTAGTGCGAGTGACAATAAATTGGTCTTTTGCGACATATCGATGTCAAGGATATGAAAGATCCGCATTTTTTTTCAGAAAATGAGGGTAAGGGTCAAACTATGCATGCTTACTTGACGTTAGACATTACAATGACCAACGTTTTAGAAAATGTAAATGTGAGGGCGCGCTCGGTTGGTGGGGGTCGACATGACCCCCTCCATAGGCTTTTCTGGAATGGTTTTCGAACGGCGCGGTGTAGCCACGCCAAATTTTGTGCAGCTATAGACAGCCTGGGAAACAGAGGTACGGGGCTCGATTTCCCGCGGTGACCGCCCTTCCCGCCAGAGTGAGAGGCAGGCGGCGTCATAAAGCCTCACCAGCTGAGTGCATTGTAAAGCTCAGTAACAACAATAACAACAGCTATAGACAACTGAATAGCGACCAGTTCGGTATAACAAATTTAGATGTACCTTGTCCGGTCGCTGGCCTATGGCAGGTCAAAGTCAGACCATGGATTTAGCGAATAAATTTTCTTAATTACTTTGGAGCTTGCTGTATGGGGCGGTGTCTTGCGCGCATTTCAAGTTAATTGATAACAGGAACATGATACATTTTTCATGGTCTTCTCAAAGGTCAGAATAGCTGACTGACCTGAAATGACTAAGGTCAACAGGTTGTTTTTAGGAACATACCGCCTGGTGTAATCTTTGACGCTCATTCTAATGCAAAACTGATGGCAATCTTGCATGGTTTTGGTCGTCATGACCTTCAAAAGGTCAAACAAGGGCACTGGCCTTAA